GCCTTTGCATAGTCAATAAAACACAAGTAAACATCTTTCTGGTATTCTTTGCCTTGAGCCAAGATCCATCTGACAGCAGCTATGATATTTCTTGTTCCATGTCCTCTTCGAATCCAGCTTGCCCCTCTGGAAGTTCTTTGTCAATATATCGCTGCAACCATTTTTGAATTATCTTCAGTAAAATCTTACTTGCATGTGATATTAATGATATTGTTCTATAATTTCCACATTTTGTGGGATCACCTTTCTTTGGAGTGGGTACAAATATGGATCTCTTCCAGTCAGTTGGCCACGTAGCTGTCTTCCAAATCTCTTGGCATAATCGAATGAGTGCCTCCAATGGGACATCCGTTTGTTGAAATATCTCAATGGGTATTCCATCAATTCCCAGATCCTTGTTCTTCGCCAATTCTTTCATTGCAGCTTTGACTTCCTTCTTCAGTACCATTGGTTTTAGATCCTATGCCACTTCCTGAAATGGATGAAGATAGACCAGTTCTTTTTGGTACAGTCACTCTGTGTATTCCTGCCATATTCTCTTGATGTTTCCTGCATCATTCAATATTTTGCCCATAGAATCTCTCAATATTGCAACTCGAGGCTTCCATTTTGTTTTCAATTCTTTCAGCTTGAGAAATGCAGAATGTGTTCTTCCCTTTTGGTTCTCAAACTCTAGGTCTTTGCACATTTCATCATAGTAATTAGTTTGGTCTGCTCAAACTTCTCTTTGAAATCTTCTGTTCAGCTCTTTTATCTTGTCATTTCTTCCATTTGCTTTAGCTACTCTCCACTCAAGGGCAAGTTTCAGAATCTCTTCTGTCATCCATTTTGGTCTTCTCTTCCTTTCTCATCTTTTTACTGATCTCTTGCTTTCTTCATGGATAATGTTCTTGATAGCTTTCCATAATTCATCTGGCTTTCGGTCATTGGTGTTCAATGCATCAAATCTATTCTTTAGATGATCTCTAAATTCAGGAGGGATATATTCAAGATAATATTTTGGCTTTCTTGGACCTGTTTTAATTGTCTTTAACTTCAAGTTGAACTTGCATATGAGCAATTGATGGTTTGTTCCACAATCAGCTCCTGGCCTGGTTTCGGCTGAAGATATTGATCTTTTCCACCACTTCTTGCCACAGATGTAGTCAATCTGAGTCCTGTGTGTTCCATCTGGTGAAGTCCATGTGTAGAGCTGCCGTTTTTGTTGTTGAAAAAAGGTGTTTGCAATGAACAAGTTATTGGTCTTGCAAAATTCTACCATTTGAGTTCCAGCATTATTTCTGTCACCAAGGCCAAATTTTGCAACTGTGTTTTTTCTTTGTTTCCAACTTTTGCATTCCAGTCAACAGTGGTAATTAACAGATCCTGATTTCAGGTTCAGTCCATTTCAGACTGCAGAAGTTGATTAAAGTCTTCAATTTCCTCATCTTTGGCTTTGGTGGTTGGTACATAAATTTGAATAATATTCATATTAACAGGTCTTCCTTGTAGGCGTATGGATATTATCCTATCACTGACAGCATTGTACTTCACTACAGATCTTGAAACATCCTTTGTGATGATGAATGCCATGTCATTCCTCTTCAAACTGTCTTTCCCAGCATAGTAGATCATATGGTTGTCTAATTTAAAATGGCCAAAACCAGTCCATTTCATCTCACTAATGCCAAGGATATCAATCTTTATGCGTTCCATTTCATTTTTGACAACTTCCAATTTTCCTAGATTCATATTTGATACATTCCATGTTCTGATGATTAATGAATATCTGCACCTGTTTCTCCTCAATTTGAGTAGTGCCACATCAGCAAATGAAGGTCTCGAAAGCTTTACCTTATCCATATGAGTAAGGATAGATTTACTCTGATGATGCAGCTCTTTCCAAGTCCTATTTGGAGAGCCTTCTAACCTAACCGGACTATTCATAAAGTTGCAGAGTAATGTATCAGACTGTGTTTCTTTGCTATTCATAAGGTTTTCCCTGGCCAATTCTTTGAGAAGTGGACAGCCTCTTCCTTCTTTCTAGTCTGTCTCAGTCTGTAAGCTAAGCTGATACCTGTGCACCATGTACATCCCACTGGGTTTGAAACATCAGTGGCTCAGCCTCAAAATTCACATCAACACGTCATCACGGTAGGACAAACCAACAGACAAGTTTGTCTCCCTGTTGGAAACTTCTCCTACCACCCTTACCTGGGTCCCTGCGGCTGACTGCAGTCGTCATACTTACTGCAGTGTAGTAACTTACTTAGTATGGTTTTTCTACCCATAAGTCATTGTCAACTCAGTGGTGGAATGAGCAACTGAGGAGCTCCTGATTGTAAATGTTATCCACCTGGCTTATTTCTGTTGGGCGTGGCACAATACAATGTTCTGGGAGGTTCCCACTCTCTCTCATGTGCTTAGAATTCTGATGCTATGATTGGCTAGTTTGGCCACTCTGCCGGGCTCAGAAGGAGGCCTCCTAGAGGCAGAATGCTCTCTGACTGCTGGCTGAGGAAAACATGCGGCTGAAAGAAACACGGGCTCCTGAGACACACGTTGCTGGGAAAGAGATGCAAGAGACCTGCGTTGCTGAATAAGACACCGAGGGACATGCACTGCTGGGGGAGAGACTGTGAGAAACTTGGCTGAGAGACAGTGGGCTGGGAGAGAGACTGAGCGTTTTTTCCTGAACTTGAATTGTAGTCTGGTGCTTCCCTAATAAACCCCATAATCTGTGAGTTCTGTGTGGCCACTGCAGCAAATTATCGAACCCAGGAGAGAGGTGGTGGGTGCTTTGGGAGGAACGGTTGGTAAAGGGCTGGAGGGAGGCAGCATGTCTGGCCTTGCAGTAATAGGCCTTGGGTTATTACTGGTAATCTGTCTACCTCTTGTAGGATTCTAGGAGGTCAGAACATGTGGCCTCCTTGCCCTTTTTGCACTTACTCAATCTATATGCTGGGCAAATGATGCCAGAAGCTAGACTATATGAAGAAGAATGCAGCCTCAGGATTGGAGGAAGACTCATTAACAACCTGCAACATGCAAATGACACAACCTCACCTGCTGAAAGTGAAGAAGACTTGAAGCACATACTGATGAAAATCAGAGATTACAGCCTTTAGTATAGATTACACCTCAACATAAAGAAAATGAAAATTCTCACCACCGGACCAATAAGCAACATCATGCTAAATGGAGAAAAGCTTGAAGTTGTCAGGGATTTCCTATTACTTGGATCCACAATCAACACTAATGGAAGCAGCAGTCAAGAAATCTGATGTCGTATTGCATTGGACAAACTGGCTGCAAAAGACCTCTTTGAAGTGTTCAAGAGCAAAGGCATCAGTTTGAGGACTAAGGCATCCCTGACCCAAGCCATGGTATTTTCAATTGCTGCATATGCATGTGAAAACTGGAATAAGGAAGACAGAAGAAGAATTGATTAATTTGAATCATGGTGTTGGCGAAGAATACTGAATACTGAATACCATGGACTGTGAGAAGTATGAACAACTCTGTCTTGGAAGAAGTACAGCCAGAACACTGCTTAGAAGCTAGGATGGTGGGACTTCCTCTCATGTTCTTTGGATATGCTATCAGGAGGGATGAGTCCTGGAGAAGGATATCATGTTTGGAAAAACAGAGCAACAGCAAAGAAGAAGATGCTCAACAAGATGGACTGACGTAGTGGATGCAACAATGGGCAAGTACTGTGAGGATGGTACAGGACTGGGCAGTGTTTCATTCCGTTTTACATACGGTCACTAGGAATCAGAACCAACTCAATGGTACCTAAAAACAACAGTTTGCCCACTAATACATATTACCAAAGATGGATGATCTAATCTAAGGAAGTCTGTCTCAGTAAACTACTCTATTCCCAAAGAAGCAGGGAATCATTCTGCTCTTTACAGTATCTGGAAATATTTCCATCTTTTCTATTCCTTGTACCAGTGCTTGAGTTTCCTTCTACTTCTTATATAAAATATATACTACAGCATTTCAAGTATCTCCAGTCTTCACTGTGTATTTCTAACTCCTCCTTTTAATTAGACCAACACCTACCTCTCCACCTCCAAAGCACCCATGAATAAAGGTGAAATTTTGGGCTAATCATTGAGGATCATTCCCAGAGAAGCTGCAACTACTCCCCCCCCACACACCCCCTTCAGTATGAAAAATGTAAGTTTAATCAGTTCTAATGAACGCACTTTGAGAGAAAAAAAAAAAAAATCTTTCTACCATAGTGCCTTCGTGTTCACTTTCCTGTCCAGGTGAACTCATTCCAACTCCTTCTAAGCTTCTCAAAGCACCTTCCTTGGAACACACCAGGCAGCAGCATCTCCTTAAGAGTGTAATTAAAGTTTTAGATACCGTGTGTTATCTATTTATAAACTTCACCTCTTCACGGAGAGGGCTGGAATCAGTGCCAGAAGACAGGCCCCAATGCTAAATGCAATCCGTTCCTGATTACCTGAAAATGCCCTGTATCCTGCAGAGCGGGTCTGCTAAAGTAGGTGTTCAATAAATGGTTAATACATTAAGTGATGAGTGAATCAAACATGAACACTGCACTTTGTGGGACAAGGGTGAAGGTGATTAAGGGGAGTAGAGACGTATGTGGCACTCCATCTTCTTTTCTTCTACCCATCCTGGGTACCCGCCCACTCAACACCCTGACCCCAGGGAGCGGCGGACACTGCGCATGCCCTGTGTCCAAGGCCACCTCTGAGCGCGCCGCCCGCGCGGCCCCACCCCCTCCCGGTGCTCGAGTGCGCGCGCGCGGCCCCGTGGAGCGTACACTGCGTGCGGGTACCCGCCAAGCCCGCCGGGCGCTGGATACCCGTGTGCCCGGGCCGGGGCTTGAGGAACGGGCTCCGGGCCCGGGCGGTGAGCCGCGAGCAGCTCGGACTGCGGCGGCGCCAGAGGCAGCGAGGAGCACCAGCGGTGAGTGAAGGCGCCGCGGGCGAATGGCGGGTGTCTCTGCGCGTGCGCAGCGCCTGGCCGCCCGGGCAGAGGCGCGCGCCCGGCCACGGGCCGGAGTGGCCGAGTGCGGTGGGGCAGGGCCTGGGCCCACGGGCGGACCTCGGGCCTGAGGATGTGGGAGAACGTGCATCCCTCGCTTGGGTTCAGAAGGCGCTGACCGTGCTGACGGGCCTCCCGAGGGGACTCCAAGCGAAGCGTGCTGGGCACGCGCTGGGGTTCCGACGCCTGGGGCCGAGGGGCTGGGCGGGCTGCGGCCGAGGGGTTCCGGGGAGAAGTGAGGCGAGCCCAGTGGTGCTGGCGCTCGCGAGGTGCACGACCTCCGCGATGGTGGTTGTCCAGAGACCGGGCGCAGCCGGGCAGCCTTGGCGCTACTAAGCAGTTGGCCGGAGCCGCGCCCCTTTCCCGGGTTGTAGCGCGTTGAGAAACAGGAGCAAACTTTTCCCAAGAAACTTTATTGGGGCGCTGCCAGAGGGGTCCCGGGGGCGGGCTGGGGCTCGGGGCTCCAGGGCCCAACACCTCGAGCTTGCCCAGCCCTGGTCCCGCAGGACCTCTGCTAGTGATGCTGGGCGAACTCGGGGATCAGTTTTCTTCTGTTTCTGGAGCTTGTCCTCCAAGTTCTGAGTGGTGTTCGTGGCATAATGGCTCTTAAAATAGATGTAGAAGTTTTGGTGTTCTGGTACAGTGTTTGCTCTCTCGGAAAGAAAAGGCTTATACTGCCTATCTTTTTATGTCAAGGAAAGTATTGTTAGGGCATCCTGAGGATTACTATTTATCAGTCAGCCTATTGTCATATATATGTTTGGAGAAAGCCAGCTAATTCTATTTTCAGCCTTGAAAAGACAAAGGGAGGTAATTGTGCTTTCTTTCATATTCTTTTAAACTCTCGCCACCTCACCATATCATGTAATACTATAGTTCACAAACTTGGCTGCACAAAAGTCTTTGGGGGCTTTTAAAACGCCCCATGCCCAATCTGCATCCTAGACCAGTTAAATCACGATTTCTTTTAGTTCTCCAATGCAATAGATTCTAATGTGCAAACGAGTGTGGGAATCACTGGTCTAATTTAGGGTGGCAGGAAAGCAAGACCTTACTGAAGTAACACTCAGTTTGGGATGAAACTCCAGCTTCATTTTTCCAGACAGGAACTCACAAAGGGTGGTTTGTTTCCCACCGGAGAGGGAGGGAAGCTTCTCTGACGGTTTCAACTGTAGCAGAACTAAATGACTCTCGCTCCCAGAACATTGTTTGAAATGGTGTTTTGAATTTCTTTTGGGATTACCAGACTTGCCGTTGCTGACTTTTCTGCCAAAGCCGAGGGGTTTCCCTCTCTTTTAACCCTCACCCAGCCCCCTTCTTTTAACCCTCTTCTAGCTTCCAGGAGGATTCCCCCTCCCCCAAACTGTATTGGCTCTGAAGGGTTACTGTGGGTTCCCATAGCAACGGGTCCTCTAGGGGAAGTGGGCGGGTTCTACTATGGTTGGGTTTCTAAATAGGACTCTTCCTTTTCTGAACGTTTTGAATCACACAATTTTTGTTCTTGGCCTCAGTGCAGGTGAGGGTGAGCTCATTCTGTCTCAGGCTTGCTTTCGAAGGTAATTACAGAGTTATTTATTAATGGGGTTGTTTAGGGTGATACTGCTAGCAGCTATGTTGTTCTCCCTATGAATAGTCATTATTTCCCAGTCCTTGAGCTGAGAACTTGTTTAACCAAATTTCAAAGTGAGGTGGAAAAGTAGCTTATAAACAGTGTGCTTTTGGCACACACAAACCTAAGGCTTGTAAGCATCATTTCTCTAACGTCTAAGATACTTTATATTTACAAAGTTTAAGAAATAAGATACAATCCTACAACCAAGCTAAAAAGCGTTCATAATTTATGGCAGAAATGCCATTATCGCTTTTAATTAGTTTTAGTCCTAGGAAGTGCCTTGCCAGATTTCATTACAAAATATTAAACCACTTCTAATGCTATACTTCAAAATAACAAAGTAAACTTAGTCTCCCTGGCTCAACACACACATCCAAACAAACATCAATTTTAAACAGTGTTCATTCTTTTATGCTCAAAACAGGTACTTTAGCCATTGAATTTCATTTTGCTTTGCAAGGAGCTGTTCTCAATCAGTACAGAAGTAAGTCATTTAAGTGGCTTGGGTTTTTCTTCTTTTATTACTCAACTTTCCAAACTTTCCTGTGCAAGTGTTCTGGTTACCTAGTGCCACTCTGACAGGAATATACCACAAATGGGATGGCTTAAACAAACAGAAGTTTATTCTTACTGTTTGGAGGCTTTAAGTCCAAGTTCATAAGTGCCAAGCTCTAGGAGTTGGGTGATAGATAGCTCCTCAGTCTCGGGTTGCAGCTCTGCCTCCTGCTCCTGGCCCACTGAAGCTGGAGGCTTTTTTTTTTTTACTCAGCTGCTGGCTGCTGAGGTTGACAAACCCAAGGTTGACAAGTAAAAAAGATACAGTCCCAGTGTTACCCACCCATACAGCAGGCCATTACTTCAAGTCCATTGTAAGTCCCAAGGTTGGCAGAGCATGGCAGGCTGCTGAACAAACAACACAGCTACCGCAGGGTCCAAGCATGCCATAAGCTAGAGACCACTCCCCAAGGCTTCTGCTTATATGCAGGAAGCAGACCACATTCCCTAAGGCAGCTACTCAGCTGCTCATAGTAGGTTCCACCATGGAGTTGATTACCAGTCTCATCATGGAGAACACTACATCCAGCTGCCCAGCCACTCAACCAGGTGCAGCCAAGTTGACACACAAACTGAACTACCACAGGAAACAGTAATCAGAGTTCATTTAATTCCAAGATGCATTTACAATTTCAATGATTCTGAGTATGTACTGAAAGGTGAAGAAGTTTTCTCTTATTAATTTCCCCTGTGTGATATGCTAGTTAAATTTCAGTTAACAAGCAAATTCTGTAAGGCTAATTGTTTTTCCTATTTTCATTCTTTGGGAAAGGTCCTATCATTTGATGGGCCTTAAATAGAGGAGCTCTGGTAGCATAGTGGCTAAGTCACTTGCCTGCTAACCAGACGGCTGGCGGTTCAAACCCACTAGCCACTCCTCAGAAGGAAGGTTGGGCAGTCCTACTTCCGTAGTGATACTGCCTCGAAAACCCAACAACAACTGGTGGTGTAGTGCCTAAGGCATTTGACTGCTAATCAGATGATTGGCTGTTTAAACCCACCAGCCACTCCTTGGAAGGAAGGTTAGGCAATCTAGTTCCATAGTGATACCACCTTGGAAAACCAAGGAGGGGTCATGAGTTGGTTCCAGCTCAAAAGTAGTGAATTTGGTTTTGGTTTTTATACTTAGAAAAGTTCTGGTAGCACAGTGCCTAAGGCATCTGACTGCTAACTGGGAGGTTGGTGGTTCAAACCCACCAGCTACTCCTCAGAAGCAAGAGTGGGCAGTCTACTTCCATGAAAATTTACTGCCTCAGAAACCCAGTGGGGGTCACTATGAGTCGGAATTGACTCGAATGCAGTGGGTTTGGTTTGGTTTTTTAATACTTAAACAGTAGTACTGTGCTACTAACGTGGTAACCGTTCACTTAATCTTTCTTTTTTTCATCTCACAGTAAACAATTTTAATTTTTAGCCTTCTCAGTTTAGTATCTTTAACCTAGTCACCCAGTAATAAATTCCTTGAAAGTGCAATGATGTGTAATTATGGATAGCTCCTCCTCCCCCGAAATTAAACTACAGTTGAGAATTTCCATGCTTTTTAAATATTTAAAATTAGTTATCACTGTTGAAATTTTGGGAATTGCTACCAAAAATATTGATAAAAAGCACATCAATCACATCATCTAGAAATACACAATTGTTAATGCAGTGATGTGCTTCCATGTGGCTTTTTTTATTTGTGTGTATAGACATATTTTTGAACTAAATTGTTTTAATTTTATCTTCATTATTAACTACTGCATTTTCACTTAACATTATATCATAAACATTTCCCATGCTCTTAAAATTCTTTCAAAATAGGATTTTTAAATGATGACTATGTCAAAGTTTATTGAGCTATTTTTCTATTGCTTGACACATTATTTACATTTTTAGCAGTTGGGAATTATAGATATTAAACTAGGTGCAAATCCTAGCTTGGCCACTATGTTAGGTAAGTAGCCTTAATTACCTAATTAATCACATTAACTTTATCTGTAAAATGGAGGCAATAATGGTGCTTGAACTGTTGAGTATTGGGGAAATGGAATGAACCAAATGGAATAAACCAAAATAATAATGAAGACTGAGAGTTAATGCTTTTAAGTTGTATTGGAGAAGAATACTGAAAAGTACCACGGACTGCCATAAGAACGAACAAGTCTAACTTGTACCATTCCCTGGAGAATGATACCATGCTTGGTAAAGTGAAGGGTCAGTGAAAAAGGGGAAGGCCCTTAAGGAGATGAATTGATGCAGTGGCTATGGGCTCAGGTATAGCAAGGATTGTGAGGCTGGCTTAGGACCAGGCATTGTTTTGTTCTGTTGATAGGGTCGCTATGAGTCAGAGCGACTGGATCCCACCTAACAACAACAACAAAAAAAAAAACCTCCACCCCCCCACACACATACACAAGGTATGTTAAAGAAGGTAGCCTTAGAATACCAGAAAATTGCCAGAGCTGGGATAAATACCCTTCACTGTGTTAAAAATAATCAAAATTCAAAGAAATTGCATTGTAAGGTTTATTCTGAGCAGTTACTCTGTATACATACAGGGAGACAATTCTGATTTCCATTTTTTAAAAAAAAGCCAATGGCTAAAGTAAGCTCCTTAAAATTGAGACTTATAAAGAGGAAGGAGATGAATAGAAAATCTGCCATTGACTAGCCTTAACATGATTGATTGAGCCCTGTCCTCCCCCTTTTCTGAGATCAGTTGATAATCCTGTCAGTAGGTAATCTCTGACCCTCCACCCACAAGCAGCCCTGA